TCTCTCTCTCTCTCTCTCTCTCTTTGTGTCTGTCTCTCTGTGTCTGTCTCTCTGTTTCTGTCTCTCTGTCGCTCTAAGTGCCGCTTTATGGCCGCACAACGAGGCACAAATGAAAGGTACCACAATTTGTCTTAATGGCAAAGGCCCAAAGCGCTTTCAGGGCGACTTTACACTCCCGGCAAGCAGACTCCTCTCCACTCCACTGCACTCCTCTCCCTTCGCTTCTCACAACTCCCAACTCCCCGAAGCACACCTTGTTGATGCTGTGTTTCAGTGGCCCCATAAAGCATTTAAACATTTTCAACTTGTTAGCAATTAATTAAATAGATCGCCGCCCGTGGCAACAAAAAAGACTCGTCTGTCATTATTCTTGCGGCCACTCACCAAAATGTCCCCATCGATACGTAGGTCTACCAACCCCACCCCGTAGCCCCGCAATCCCCTCGTTCTTTTGCATAAGCTGCTTGGCTTGTTAATTACGACAACAGCATACAATTTTTATGGAGGACACACGCCCCATTCAAAGGCATTTGCATGACCACAAGCATAACTACAGACGCACACACATATCTGCACACATATAGATATATACATATATATGGATATATGTATATATATATATATATATTTGAGAAACGCTTCAAACGTGACCGGCAGTTAAAGGGTCGTCTCTGGAGCGGAGTGGGGGAAAATGTTGCAACCTATCGTGGTAAGTCCGGGGCTTGAGGGCTGCCGGTTGCTTGTCTGGCAGTTTGAAAATTTATTTCGCTCTTTTTGCAATTTAAGGTAATTATTATGTACCTTTGGGGTAATTTTAACACCTCGAACACCATCGACAAATATCATCTTCACACTAAGACATCGGAGACCGTACCGACTCGAACTCGGATTCGGACTTCATTCGGTGCTACAGAAGTAGCTTCTCTTCTGCTCTCGCCGCTTCTCATATCAAGCATCCAAAATCACAACAACAACAACAGCAACAACAGCAACAGCAACAACGACAAACGTTTCTTAGAAGCGCAAAGCTTTCAACACCTTCGATGCGTGCCCAGGAACAGGCTTCCAGCTGAAACCTCTGACTCCTGACTCCCTCCCTCCACCCACTGCACTGCCCTGCCCAGTGGCCAGTTATTTTTCACACCTCGACAACAAATTTTTTTTTTTTTTTTTTTGTATTCACTGCCTTTTTTTTGCACTTGGCGGCGTATTCGGTTTCTGCAACAACAACAACAACAACAGACGCGTTTTTAATAACCGCTGCAGCGGAACTGAGCAGCGTCTGTCTCTTATCTCCAGTCGGCTCATCAGCAAGGAATCGTAGTCATATCCTGTATATGTGTGTATGTGTGTGTGTTGCACACTCGCAATTATTGGTGTGTGTGTGTGTGTGTGTGTGTGTGTGTGTATGCGCGAAGTGGCGTGCGTTTAAATTACCGTTATTAGCTGCGAATCGTGCGAATTTTTACACAAGAAAAATAAATAATTTAAAAAAAAAAGCGCTCAACTCATCGAGCACTTCTCCTGTTTCACTTTCCACTTCGCTTTCATTTCACAAATCACAATTTCCGCCAGTTGTTACAACCATAAAGAGTCAAATTAATGTTGTAATGTCAACAGCCCAAAAATCACCAAAAAAGATTGCGATAAGCAAAAGCAACAAATACAAATGTAAAGCGACAGATTTCACGCTCATGATATAATCGTTAAAAAAAAAAAAGGAAGAAAAAACCAAATACGATAAGTTGTCAGGGTGATCTGTAAATTCTTCCAGGCTGAACTACTCCATCACGTTTTACGTGCTACATTTGTACGTGATTTGAGATGAGTTAAGATTAAAGCAGATCAGATCACAGATCTGTGGCTGCTGCTACTGCTGCTGCTGCTGCATTGAATTACAATTACTCTTAATGAACAGCACTGTCACATAAAATGTTTAATTAATTATCATTTCGATAGTTAGATAGTCAAGTTGGTTAGATTCCGACAAAGTCGGAATTTTGTTGACACTTGGAGTGTGGCTTCCGTTTCGGCTGCAATGGAAACCCTCAACTCAACTCCAGCTCCACTTTTACTTTACTTCTCAGAAAACCGAAAAAAATGCGTGACAGATGAAATCAGTAGAAACTGTATAGATATGAGATACTTCAAGGAGTAGCAGCGTTTTTAAAATGATTTTCGTCTTAGCAAAAATAAAATAGCAATTCAAAAATAGACTAATAAACCGAGTTCTATATCGACAAAAGTCAACCCACAGTTTGCGTGACAGATAAAACCAGGTGAAACTGTGAAGATATGAGGCACTTCAATATGTCGCAACGTTTAAAAATTCACTGCAAAGGCCAATACATTTCCAGGACACGCTGAGTCTATTTTTTGGATTGATGATTTTCCAATTGGAATCGCATCCACACACAAGTACTCAAACTGAACGACAGATGGCGCTGTTCCAAGTCCAACCAGTAAACATTACATCCAATTCAAATTAGGCATGTATCATAGATGCCGCCAGCTAACAATTGTCAATTGTCTAATTGGCACTCTGGCTGACTCGCTGCCTGGCAACTCTGGCGCATCCTGTTGATCCTGTCGGTTAATCCAGGCAGGCTGCAGCTACCTGTTGTTCCTTTCGCTTGCAACCCTCGGCATTGCTGCATTACATGCACTTTCAATTAATCAAAATGGAAATGCAGAGCTAATTAAAATGCTACCAAAACAGTTTTTTTTTTTCATTCATTTCATTCTATTTTGTGGGTGTGTGTGTATGTGTTGCATAGAATTGTGGCGGGATATATAGTAGACGAAAAAGAGTTGAAAATAGATTTTCATTTAATTTTTTTAATCAATTGGGGGCGTGTAGGCGATGACGCAAAGCATTTGCCTGCAGGATCTTAGAAATGCATTAATTTTGAACGAGTATTGAATTTGTATCCCATACATATCCATGTAATGGGCCAATCCACAATCGGTGGCAGCTTTTAAAAAACGATTAAGCAATCTGAACCCGACTTCGACTCCGAACCCGAATCCAATTGCACTCACACACACAAGTCTCGTTGTGGCAGCTGCTTAATGTTAATCAAGGGTCTCCTTCTTTTTTTATGCATTTATGAGGCGCAATCTCGTTACTCCAGAGCAACTGTAACGGTTTAAAGTTCTGAAACTGACCCCTTCGCCGTCCCTATCTCTGTCTCTGTCTCTGGGTTCACAACGACAACAAAGTTGCGGCCCATAACAAATTTATGGGTGCTTTATGGGGGCCCACTTCACTCCACCTCACTTCAGCTCACTTCACTTCACTTGTTGGGGGCGTATAAATAGCCAGAGATCCGTCGTGAACACGTGGAGAGCTGGACACGGTTGCATAGCGCCAAGAATCCATCGAATCAAAGCAGAGAATCAAGAGCCCCAGAAAGGTCCCCGGTTTGTCAGCAAGCGAAAGCATCTTAAAGACTGCGAAATACTCTGTTCCCAGTGTGGATTTAATATCGGCTTGCCAAAATCAACTAAGTCAACCTCTTAAAGTTCCTGACTTACATAAAATGTTAAATTAATAATTATTTATAAATTTAATTTGTAAAATTATTTCGCTTTTTGTTTGTATAAATTTCATAATCAATTAGACGATTTGCAGGCATTAAAAATACATTTTTAGTAAAAATACTTAAATTAACATTTCAGCTAGAAAAATGTACAATATTTCTAAGGGAACTTTTTTTTGAGTAAAAAGGGAAAATTTTAATAGCTCTTGCTCCCAGTTGGGGGCAACAACAGTGTATAAACTGAGAGCCAGACACTGGGGGCTGTCAAGTTTGTCAAGTTGCAGCTTCGTGACAAAGCTTCAAGCAAATGAGCTGCAATGCAAGAAGGGAGCGCACACCTCCCTCCCCCTGTTCGCTCCCCCGCTCACCCACTCTCTCCGTCAGGCCGTGTCTGCACTTGATATGCATGAGGCAGCACACACTTGTGGGATTTGTTGTTGTTGTCGTTGTTGCTGTTGCTTTATGTTAATCAGACTCGGATCGGAAGCACGTGTCAAATGCGGCAATGCGGCAAATGCTTAATGCAAAAGAACAGTTGCGTCGTTTGCTGCTGTTGCTGTTACTGCCCCAAGGCCAACAGATTGCACAGATCCCAGGCCTTGAGCAGTGTCAAGTGGAGGGCAATGAAGAAGCTAGTGTAGCTCACATGATGGATTACATTCAGATGCATACAGACAGACAGATATATATTTATATCTATATAGAGTGCGCAATTTTAGTTTTTTTTTTTAACATATATTACTATTATTATTTTGAATGCTCAACAAAAAATGAAAGCAAGTTCTCTTCTATATATATATATATATATATATATATATATATGTATATATATTATTTATTTTCATTTCATTTTTTTGTTTTTTTTTTACATGCATTTTTGTGACAAGGATCAGCAGTTAGGAGCAGTGCATTGTGCATAAGATTTAAGTCTCGATTTCGACGTAGTTTTTCCCAAACACAAAAATATAAAGAAAATTGTGTGAGAGAGAGAAGATATGAGAAGAAAACAAGAGAAGAAAAGACAAGAACGTAGCATTGTGACACTGACAAAAAGCAAAGATGCTCGGGACAAGTTGAATGGATCGAGTGAGAGGCAAGAGAGGGTGAGTGTGAGTGAGAGAAAGAGAGAGAGAGAGAGAGGGAGAATACGAGTACAAGCACCCACATTTGGCACAAGAGCGAGAGTGAGCCGCAACCCCTATATAACCCATAACCCCTAATTTCGTTGCGCTCTCTACCCGGAGTGAGAGACAGAGAGAGAGAGAGAGAGAGTGCGGATCACTTGTGCAGGCAGAATCTGAAGCTGAGACTGAGCCTGAGCCTGAGGCAGGTAGCGATCCGCCGCCACCACCACCAACATCAGGCAGCAGCAGCGCTGTCAACGTCGGCAGAGCCTTCGGGCAAAGGGTACTTAAGGGCGAGTGCGCAGGACGAGGTTTATCATTGCGGAATTTGATTCCACACAGTCAACACAACATATTCTCGCAGCCTACAGAGCTAACCAGGATTATTCATTCATCATGACGAGTATCTGCAGCAGCTATCAGCATTTTCAGCTGACCAACGGCAACATTATGTTGCTGCATCAGCAGCAACAACAACTGCAGCAACAGCTACTACTCCAGCAACAGCAGCAACATCAGCTGATTGCGCCCAAACAGCCGCTGGGCAATAGCCAATTGCAGAATATGCAACAGACGACAAATGCCACAACGAGATCTGCATCGGGATCAGGAGTGGGACCCATGCTGGCCAAAAAGAAATACAACAATTATTCGAATATGCCATATGGTGGCGCCGAGCAGATGCCATCGGTGGCACGTCGCAACGCACGGGAGCGCAATCGTGTCAAGCAAGTAAACAATGGATTTGTGAATCTGCGCCAGCATTTACCCCAGACGGTCATCAACTCACTGTCGAATGGCGGCCGAGGAGCCAGCAAGAAACTTTCCAAGGTGGACACGCTGCGCATCGCAGTTGAATATATCCGTGGACTGCAGGACATGCTCGGCGATGATGGCCAGCCGAGGGCACAGCTGCTCTTCAGCAGCAGCTCGACAACGGATGAGTGCAGCAACGATAGCTACAACGATGACTACAACGACAGTCTGGACAGTCCTCCAACTGCTTCGGCTGGTGCTCCATATCATCATCATCATTCGTATCACTCTGCGTCGCCAACACCCTCGTATAGCGATGCCTCCGATCTGTCTGCCAGCTATGTGAAGCAGGAGCTGCCCGATCAGGAGCAACAGCAGCAGCAGCAACAACAGGAGCAGCAACAGTTCAAATTTGAGTCCTTTGACAGCTTCAGCGATGAACAGCCCGACGATGAGGAGCTGCTCGATTACATCTCCTCGTGGCAGGAACAGTGAGTGAGAAAGAGCTTCATCATCACAGGTCCTAGTGATCCTACTCCAGCCAAACCAAACACACAAATCCTGTACAAATTGTAAATATGGAAAACTGTTGCCTTAGTGAAAACACAACACAACAACAACAAACTACAAAAACAACAAAACAAAACAAGTCCCAGATTCTATAAGTTTCCTAGCCTTTAAGCAACAAAAAACTTTTTTTTTCATAGTTTAAGCATGGAAGACAATGATTTAAAACATAAACTAAATATTTTTTTCATAATTTTAAGTATTTGTTATAAGCATGGAAGACACTAAGCTAGCTCATAAGTATTATTATTATTATTATTGAATTGCAATAATAAAAACAAAATATTAAAACACAATTCTTAACCGAAATTAAAACTATATCTTTTCATTGAAACAACAACAATTCTTAAATATTTCAGCTTAATTTCAGATACCTAATCAACATAATTATCTCTATAAATAAAATTCTTGATCTTTCATTAGATTATCAGTATATAACAGAACATAACAATAATACGATTTTTACAATTTCTCCATTCAATTGAATAAGAAGTTTAATTTGAAAGGATCGACAGCCAAGTTTTCATTGTCTACACGAAGTTCAAAGATCTCTCTTGAGACCTATATGCTTAGAAACTGATCAACACTTTGATAACAAAATTTGAACATTTTCAAGATAAAACATTATTTCGTAAATTGTTGTGTACATTTTTATAAAACTTAAAGGTTCATAATATATTAATATGCGACCAGCTCAATCTTTCATAAATATATCTCAGGATTAACCTTAACTGAAAACCTTTTATAGATTGCACCAGATTATCTACAGATATATTGAAATATTCTCTTTCGTACTAAAACTCATAAAATAGATGCTCAATTTTAGTTAAAACACTTGTAGAGAGTCGGAAACAATTGAAACCCTTTCTTAACTAGTCGATTTTGAGTTTCTTTCTTTATATGAATATACATATGAATTACTCAAATATCTTATCCGCATGAATAGCAATGATTTATAGCACTCTCTTTCGCTCAAGTGGGTTCAAGTATGTACATACATTGAAAGTGAAATAGTTTTTATAAATAGATCGACAGAAAAGGACTGAAAGTATGTAGATTTATACAATATGTTGATATGATTCCAAGCAAAGATCGTACAATTTAAATGTGGCTTACACAAAAATGTTTAACTAGGAAATATATAAAAAATATACTACCAATGAATGAGTCACTCGGAGAGAGAACTTCGGTCACATCCTGCGCCTGGGTTCATTGTGTTAAGGGTAAATCAACCCACTCACTCAATAATAATCAACACTCGACCGGAAATAACAGCAAATATATTTTTTAACGAGTTTCAATTTGGTATTTTGCGCATAAATTGCCCGAGCCTCGAGCACGGCGGAAATAGGCCGACACGCCTGATAGCCTGAAGCGGACCATGTCAAACAGAAAGGACGAGCGATGACGACCAGCTGGTTGAGGACAAACTTACTACTTAATAGAGCTGCGATAGGAGCCCACGTGTCTGGCGCACCCCAAGTCGTACAAAAAACAAAATATAAAGCTGGACGGTGCGTAATCACAAGGCATAAAATGCACTTCCGCTCGCGGGGTAGAAAGTCTCGCGCCTCGCGACTACCCCTAAAAACGCCTAACCCGCAACACAACCCCAAACACTAGACCCTACAAACCTTAATGAAGAAGCTTGTCTCTAGCTTGGGCGTGTGCCAAGACGCAAGCATTCAATTTTGGGTTGGGCTCATTACCATTTCGATCCAAGTACAAATATAAAATTGTGACAAGCCCACAAAATTTCAACAATGTATGCAAATGTGAATGCTGGACACGTGCAAAGAAACTGCTCACTGTTGAATGATGGATAGTTGAGGGAGCAACAGGGAGGAAGGGAGGGAGAGGCTGGCAAATATGGTATATGGGTGTTGCCTCCGCACATCTGACCCGCCCTGGCAGCGCGACAGGAAACATGAGAACGTAGCCAAAAAATGCGAGATTTTACCTCAAAAAAAATAAACATAAAAGACATTAAGGCAGGAAGGAAGGAAGCAAGATGTGCATGGAGGCAGGACAGAGAGCAGCAGTGAGTAGAGAGAGGAAGAGAGAGAGAGTGAGATTGCAAGACGGTAGCCTCAAGGCAAAGGACAATACGAAATTTGATTGTATGTCAGCTTAAGATGCGACCTGGCAGGATAAGACCAGGAAGGACCCAAATTCGACTAAGCGAGCGAGCATGCTATAGAATTGCCAGCGGATATCAAATGAAGCTTATGTGCACTGAACTCAGACTGGACTTTGAGTGAGGCGTAGGTGTCAAAATACGGGACTAAGCCAATGTCCTTTAATAGGCTCGGCATTGAGGATATTGCTATAGTTTTATGCAATTTTAGCTAAGATTTCACTAGGACTCTGGACTCAAATGACAGCAATTGCAATAAATTCATTTGAGCTCATGAGCTCGCTCTCTCTCTCTCTCTCTCTCTCTTTCTGTCTCGAACTCTGCTCGCAAGTCCTTTTCTTACAGTAGGTCCTTTTGCCAGGAAGTAACTTCTTTTGTGCGCCACTTTAGATCGAGACATGTCCGCCGTTTTTGTTGCAGGAAGTGCGTATTTGTTTTGCATCTTGTCCTGTCTGGCAGGCAGACCGCTCTTGGCTCCATATACAATGTCCTGCCATGTCCTGGCACTGAAGTGCTCCTCGTTTATTTATTTTTGTAATGCGCCTTTTACTTCATTTTATTGTTGTTGCTGGGAAATCTGAGCCGCATGTTATTTTATCATGTCGCAATTCAAAGAAAACTGGGCGCACCCGCGTCCTAAAGGACACACGCTCATTGCTCTCTGCGCTCTCTGCTTCTACCTCGATGTCGCGAGGACACTTGTATCCTGGCAGCATCTTTGCATTTGAGCTATGTGCGTATATAAGTGAGTTATGTGACTTTATGACGGCGTCGCCAGCGCGCATCGCTAGACAAGATTTATGAGCCATGTGTCAAAATACGAGAGCGCTTGTTGCGCTTTGAAAAAAAAAAAATACTCAAAGAACTCTCATTTGAATAGTCCGAGTATCCTCCGTTTGCTCCTTAACTCTCTCGACGAGCACTCGAACCTCGAGTTGTCAGATTTCGCACTTAACCAGGCGTCAAGTGGCAGTTGTAGTTGTAGTCAGAGTTGTCCACTTTCCTAGTAGCTCATTAATAAGGCGACACCAAGTGCTACCAGACAAAACACAAACGTTAAAGTTTCACATCTTAACTCAATTCAGTTCTAATATAATCAGAAGTTCTTCGAAAATCGTATTCATTTCAGGTTAAGAAAGTACCAAGAAAACTCATTAAACCCTTAGAAGTCTATATGTATGCTTATATATAATTTAATAACAAACTTTCTGTTGATGTTAATTTAATTCCATTTTATTTAACGTGTATTTAAAATACCAAACAAACAAAATAAAAAAAAGATTGTATTTTGAATATTATAAGGAAAAAAGGAAGTGCCTTTAATCAAATATCTGTGTCTCATTGAATATCTGCTAGATACAAGAGAATATTTATATCCTATATAGAGATGTGATATAATCTGAAGTTATTTCAAAAATACCAAGAATATATTATATATGAATGTACATACATATATATATCTTTGTACCCAATATCCACAGTGGCATGTCAAGTGAGACTTTAGAGCTACTAGTTGGACTACTGATCGCTTTAAGATGCTCACCTTTTTCAGGTCAGTTTCTGCAAGGGAAACTTGTAGTGGAGTCACTGAATGTAATTATATTGTCTAACAGCATGAAACGATAACCCTTGATATCTCTTTTGACTATCTATGGTAACACTGTGAGCCGAGCTATTGAGCTGAGCGAACAGCCAAAAGGTAATCTTCGATATTGCATTTCACTTTGGTATCGCATTTTGTTTTATTGATCCTCAACACACGCTACATTTAGCACAGTGTGAACTGTTTGTCAGTAGTTAAATGACTTTACCGAGCGCAACCCTTCACAAAGGGTAGACAGACAGAGAGAGTTATAGAGGGATAGAGAGAGAACGAGAGAGAGCGAGAGAGTGAGGGAAAGAAAAGAGAAGCAATGCGGGTTTCAACTTTGACTTGATTGTTGACATGATGGAAACTAACCGCAGATATTACAAAAGCGTGCAAGGATCAATGTGTACAACGACGCAGTTGCATTCACACACACACACATACATACACATGCTCACATGTGCACACACGTGTCCAATTCCATGGCTGGCATGCATGCAGGTTCTCATCATGGCAAACAGGGGTCCAATAAACCATCGCAGGCAATCAATGTCAGACAGTTTTTAGAGCACAGGCAAAAAGCCATATCGAGCATATCATCCAGGACACTAAGGACTAGACAACAATGGGGCAAAATGCCAAAGGCAAAAACGAAAAGCGAAAAGCAAAAATGCCTTTGAAAGGAATTCACTGGAATATCCTGTGACTATTGTCTGGAGCCATCTCCATCTCCATCTCTCGGCCTCAATCGCATGAAAAGTGATTTCTACTTTTAAATTTTCCTTTTTTATTTGTTCATTATTTATTTTTTCACGACATTCCCGTAGCGCGAGTCCTTATCTGCGCTGCATTGAGGAAATTGTTCATTGAAGCGTGGCTCTTACTCTGGAGTCTACATTAAAGACTCCTCCGCTTCTTAGATGGCTCCCCGTTTCTTTATTGTGTTTTTTTGTATATATTTTTTCAATATGTCTGCGCTGCTATCAAAAGGTCAGTGCTAAGGTCAATATAGTCGAACAGCTAGTCTAGTCTAGCTAGCTGCGTCTAGGTGAGCCAAAGCGAATTGCGACAGTTCTTCATTATAGATTCCATTTCCCTTTGCCATTGCCAGACTGCGGGGCGGCTCTCAGTGTCTGGTCATTAGCATTACGCGCATAGAGAGACCCCTCTGTCAAAGGACAATCCCGACATTCGTCACGACGATTGAGCGTGTCGAATGCATCGTTCAATTTCTCGCTGATATCTACCTGTTTCCGTTAAGAAAAACCCTCGGGGTTTTCCGC